TTTCGCAAAAAACATTTTCTCCAACAAGACTTTTCATAAAGAAAAGCTCAAAAAACTTTCTTTTCAAAAAGCTTTCTCTTAATTTTTTTCTAAAGAAATATTGAAAGTTTTTATTTTTTACAAGCTTTTTATAAATAAAACGCTTTTTTGTTTTCAAAATAATGAAAATTACTTATAAAAAGCTTTTTCCTCTAAAATTTATTTAGCATCAAGAATTTCTTTTGAAAAAGCTTTTCATAAACAATTTTTAGTTAACTAGAATTTCTATAAAAAAAGCTTTTTTGTTAATTTATTTCTTAAGAAAGCTCAAAAGCAATTTTTCGTTAACAAGAATTTCTATATAAAAAAGCTTTTTTTATTTATTTATTAAGAAAGCTCAAAAGCTTTCTCTTATTTTTTCTTAAATAAATTTCCTCTTGAAAAAAAACATTTTCTCCAACAAGAATTTTCTTAAAAAGAGTAAAAAAAAATTTTATTTTCAAAAAGCTTTCTCTTATTTTTTTTTTTTTCTAATCTAATGTTTTTTTTTACCCTTCAACATTTAGATTTGTTTGCTTAATGAAGCTTTTACTCATTAGGTTTTTAGTAAAAGTTTATCAAAAATAATTGTATGAAAAAGCTTTTTCACTGAAGATATTTTCTTATAAAAACATTGAAATCATAAAAGCATATAAAAACTTGTGTTACCCTAAAAAGCTTTATTTTTGAAAAACCCCGTTTTTCATGAAATAAAAATAGTTTTAAAGTTGTTTTCTTTCAAAAATCTTCTTCACTATTTTTGGAATCTTTTTCCCAAAAACGCTTTCTTTATTAAATTGACCCTTTAAAACGAATAAAAATCTCTCAAAAAGCTTTTTCCATAAGATATATTCTAAAACAGTACAAAAGGTACATGAGTAAGAAATTGCTCTTATTAAAACAGACTGCTAATGATCACACAATATATCAATAAATCTGCTATAAGTTGCGAAAATAGACATTATTATTTACAGTGTATTTAAATAGCAATTTAGCAACTTTATTGCAATCGGATTTTGCTTGTTTTTCAATGATCAAAAATAAAATTTTTGTTTTTATATTCCTTAATTTCTAATAACATTTTCACCTCTAGTATCAACTTGTTTTTTCCCCAAAACGCCAGCAAACATATGCATAAAAATCTGCCCAAGAAAAAAAGTAAAAAAATTACAAACCATGAAACATTTTCTACTCATCATTTTATGTATTTTTCGATGTTTTCAAATTTATTTTTTCTCGTTTTGTAAGTTAAAGTTCATTAAAAAAAAACACTGCAGATTTTCAGCCAAGTGGCTGCTGTTACAGAAATCGTCTACACATGTTCGGTCTTGTTGGTTTTTTTTTTTTGTTAGACCAGAGCCGCAAAGCGAAGCAGCGGTTTGCATTTTACAACTTGCTTGTGGTCGTGGGCCTCATAAAAACTTTTATGAGCAATTGATAGTGTGAACAAACGTTTTCCTTGCATAATTTTTCCAAAGATGAAAAGAAACAAACAATTTCGTTTTTTTTTCAAAATTTTTCTTTGTTTTTTTTTGTTAGTATTTTAATACACTTATTAAGTGAAATAAATTCCTCCCTATTTATGGCTACTGTTTGAATTTATTACATGAAAACAAGACTAATGAAACTAATGGAATTCTGCTTGTTAGTTGTTTGGAAAACCTCAATCATATAATAACCAGCAACTGCTTTAAAGATAATGTTTAAAAAAGCAAGGTTAAACTGATGACTACTAAGTAACTTTAAAAAAGCTTTTGATTTAATAGCTCGAAGGACCATAAATTTAAATTATATCGAAAATCTAAGATTTTGTATGAAAACTAATTTGGACCCATCTAAATTATACTTTTAAGCCATTTCTTTAACAAAAGACTACTCTCCAATTTTGTTGCCTTCAACCAATTGCTGTCGTTAACATTGTGTTTTAACATTTTAATCATAACATCATTGTGTTAACAACCACAGAATAAGAGAAAAAAACTTCAATGTTTTAACAACATTTCAAACAAATTATCAAAATATTTAAAGATAAAATCCATCATCTCACCTTTTTTCTCTAAATGTTTGAAATCTTGACAACTTGTGAAAATTATAACAACTTTTCAACATTATCATCATCATCATAATGATGATCCCACAAACCCCTGATTATCATTAAATAAATATTTAAATTATATCACAGAAAAAGAACAAAAAATAAAAAAAACATCTAAAAAACACTCTACTACACACAGAGTGTTTCTTTTCGTTTCATTTCATTTCAGTTAAGTGTATTGTAAAATATTCCGTCATAAAATGAAGAGTTTGTTTATTTCACATTAAAAGTCAATTAAATGCGATGATGTATTACTAGTACTACAAAAAATAAAGAAAAGAAACAACAAGAAAATAAAAAATTCAAATCAAGAAAAACATCTTAAACAAATAAACAATGAAAGAAACAACACGCTGAAAACTCATTTAAAAATTAAATAGAAAAAAATTGAAAAAAAACGCAACATTTTCCACTCAAAATTATTATAAACTAGTATATATTTTTCTTATTTGTAATATTTGAGTTGTTTTCTATCTTGATTTTAATTTCATTAAGAATTTTCAAACATATTAGCAAAACATTTGATGTGTATTTTTGTGAGTGTAATCATTCAAAATAAGTTGTATCTAGTAGCTGGCTAGATTGTGCATTTGAGGAGTTTGAGCGATTTGTTTATCTTGATATCTAAGTAAATCATTTTAATAATGTTTACAGTGATTTCCACTGTTTCAGTGGGAGGAAAGGAATAATAAAACCAGATCCAAAAGAAACTTGTTTTTACGTTACAAATTGATAGCTTCCCAAATCATTAGTGCCCAAGCATATGTTTCTGAAAAAGTTAATGTATTGTCATCTGCCATCCCAGCAGTTCGACAAAGAGTCAATGCATACGAAAAAGACATTAATTTCCACTAATAGTTAACCACCTGGATGATCGTAATTCGTATGTTTTGGGTCATTCGTCACGAATGTACCCTTTGTAATCGAGAATGAAGACAGTCGTCAATTTAGTGTCCTCTTTGTAAGCGGGAGCGGAGACAGTCGTCTTTTTACTGTCCTCAAGTAACTTAGAGATTATACTCTTAAAAGTTTTTTTTTACTTCCGAAAGACAATCGTCACTTGAGTGTCCCCTTTGTAAGCGGGAGCGGAGGCAATCGTCTCTTTACTGTCTCTTTGTAGGGTGTAGAGTGACGATTGACTTCCTCGTAGACAAGCCCATGTTAAAATGGTCGGTCACCTTGGTAGTCAGGTGGCTAGGGGCCACCACAAGTGGTAGGTTAAGTGGTCAGTTCGGGACTGTCCCGTCGAACTGCTGGGATTCTCTTTAATGGATCCACGAATATGGAACATTGTTAAAGAGCTTGAGTATACATATTTATATCTTTACCACAGAGTTGTTACGTAATTAAAGTTTACTAACAGGGCTTCAGGATGTCGTCAGTGTTTTTAACAAACTGCAGTCTGTTGAACTCCTTTTACCACCATCAGCCAGACTATTCGAAATACACCACAATTCCGTTCAACATGCTTTTAAGTACACTTCTTCTTCCTTCCTTTCCTTCCTTTCCTTCCTTCCTTTCCTTCCTTTCCTTCCTTTCCTTCCTTTCCTTCCTTTCCTTCCTTTCCTTCCTTTCCTTCCTTTCCTTCCTTTCCTTCCTTTCCTTCCTTTCCTTCCTTTCCTTCCTTTCCTTCCTTTCATTCGCTTTCTTTACCTTACCTTCCTTTTATTTTCCATTACTTTTCTTATTCTTCTTCCTTCCCTGCCTCTCTTCCTTTCCTTCCTTTCATTCGCTTTCTTTACCTTACCTTCCGTTCCTTTTATTTTCCATTACTTTTCTTATTCTTTCTTCTTCCCTTCCTGCTACTCTTCCATCCTTTACTCGCTTTAAATGAATCTCTTTTCCCACGTTTATCAGGTTTATGAAATTGAGCATCACGTGGTATAAAACAGGGGAATACAGAAAGTCGCACGTATGATACGACTTCTCTTCCAAAATAAACTGATCCTGACTCGGAAGCTTTGACCGATTAGAGCCACCTTCGGTAGAAACAAAATAAATATGGTTACATTGAAATACATTTGTCAAAACCCCTAAGATCAAGTTGATCATCAAAGCCGACTTAACCATTTCTTGGGCTGAGTATTCTCTTGCGTTTAACAACTTCACTCTGCTCAAGTCAAACTGTAGGTGATGGTTGCGTATGTGGAATAAACTTCCTGCCGAAGTTGTTACAGATACCCCCAACATAAGAAGATTAAAAGCTAATGTAAGCTAATTTTCCTCAACAAAACTATTTTAGCCCACTGTGCCTCTTAAATAAAAACTACTAATCTAGCACAGATTCACTTTTTTTATTTATAACTTCAGTAAATAAACTTTAAACTAAAAATAACAAGGAAACACCAGAATTCGGTAGAGAAAACCAAATAGACTCCGTAAATAAAATCCATCGTAAACTAAAATGCTGAAACGTTGATGACAAAATAAAAACAAGACAGTTAATGATAAAAAGAAAAAAAAAAAAAAAACAAATCAACCTAAAGATAACTTATATTTTTTAAGCGTTAAAATTTCACAGATTTACACACAGATTTTAAAAGGCTCACGTGCATTTAAGGCAAAACCAAAGACAACAACAACAAACCCAAAATGAAATAAATTCAAATTAAATAAAAAAAATTAACAAATAAAAAAAGTTAAATAAACATTTTCATCATGCTTATCAGAAGGCAGAGATCGGGAGGCAAAGATTTTTTTGACGATGTGAGAATGATGATGACGATAATGATGAACAAGAAGAAAAGCACTCAATTTTTTTTTTAAATTTTTCTTTCTAGTAGAAAGAATAAGATTATGAGGAAGTTGTGTTTGAGGGTAAAACTTTTCTTTTCCCAACGCCTAAGAATTAGTGAGATTTTAAAACTTAACTAGACAACACGTTACAATTAGATACAGACGGTCGATCGGTCGGTCATTATGTCCGTTTTTAATTCTAACAAATCAAACCGCTACAGTGGTGTTAATGGCGAATGCAATTTTTCTTGCCTTCAAAGATTTCTAAGATAAACGAGTGTAAAATTCAACTAGATACAAATGAAATAAAGAAAAAAATCTAAAATCAACAGTGAAACGTTGAAAATTGTCCGCTAAAAAAACGGCTCATTTGAGATTAATTAACAACAGAGACACAACGAAACGAGTGTGTAAAAACAGATTTTTATATTTAACAAAAATTGAAACAAATTCGCAAAAAACAACAGGAACAACAACGATATACTAGCATACAGTACAGATCATTAAAATGATTACAGTGTGATTACATGTGTCTGTGTGTGTAAGTGTGTGGCCACTAGAGTGTATGTTTGTAATGCATGTGGTGGTGATATCTATTAGATAATTATAAAAAAGAGCGTAATGAGTTGGAATTAATAATAATAATACAAAAAAACATACAATTTGTTTGATCTAAATCCAAGACTCTTTAAACAAATAGAGAGTCAGTCGATCAGTCAGCCAGTTAGCCAGCCAACCATTCAAGTCTGAAAGTACGAGTGAGTATTAGTACAAGTAGTTTTTGAGAATCGCAATGGGAATGAATGTGTGGATTTTCACAAAAATTTGTTTATGTGTGAAAAGTGTGTGATGAAAAACGCTAAAATTCTTCATTCTAATGAATGAGATCGATCCAACGAAACGTGTACGTACAATTGCGCTGTGAAGTGGATCAATGTGAGCGATCGGTCGGTTGGTTAAATGGTTGGATAGATGGATCGTTGGTCGGTCGATCGTTTGTTCTGTGTGTAGTATATTTTTCGATTTTTTCTTTCTTTTCTTTTTAATTTGGCGATGGGCGAGTGTATTTTTATTTGTTTTCGGTACAACATCATGATGATGTTAATGATGGTGATCATTATACTTGATCATCATCTTCGACATCATCAACATTATCATTTGTACAAACAAAGTTGACGGTGACGTTAACGGCGGTAAATACACACAGTCAGTATTTGTGGCGGCGTTTCAGTGTTAACTTACCTGTAAGATTCGCTGATAGCGATGATGAAAGTCTCTTCTTCGACATCATCTTTTCGTAGTTGTTGTTTTTGTAATTTTTTTGTATTTTTCCTTCATTATTTTTTTTTGGTCTTCTACTCATCGTGTAGATTCTATGTGCAACAAACCAACGGCCACAAATACGACCAACAGCCAACAAAGTTCAGTTCATCGTGGTTGATGATTGTGGTCAAGTGCACACACAACTAAAAGAAATAAATTAAATAAAATAATAATATTTTAAAAATTTGTTGTTTATTTTTTAATTATTGTGATGTATTGCTGAATTTTTTATGAAAAGTAATATAAAAAAATTATAAAAAGTAAATAATTGCTAAAAACATATTAGTGAATTTAAAAACAGGTGGATTTTTAAATGTCTGTAAAAACTAAAAAAAAATTATTTCCGGAAATCAAGTTTAAAAAATATACAAAAATAAAAGAAACAAAATCGTTTAAAAATTAGTTATAAATTAAAAAGTGCAAATTAACAAACTATTTTGTGAATAACTGAAATGTTCTCTTATGAAAATAAATCATGAATACAACACCCAAGAGTTTGTTAACTGTCAACAGGATATTGAAATGCTTAAAAGATAACCCTTGAAGTTTTTTTCTATCATTAATTTCCAGATCTTTTTAAACGTAAATTTAGCGAGAATTTAATTTATACTGTGAATGAAAAAATAATGTTTTATTTTTAGAAAGTGCTAATAGATAATGCTGATTCTTTAAAAATTACTTCAAATGTAAACTTTCTGACTCAGTTCTAGTTCAGTTCTAGTTCAGTTCTAGTTCAGTTCTAGTTCAGTTCTAGTCCAGTTCAGTCAGTTCTAGTTCAGTTCTAGTTCAGTTCTAGTTCAGTTCTAGTTCAGTTCTATTCAGTTCTAGTTCAGTTCTAGTTCAGTTCTAGTTCAGTTCTAGTTCAGTTCTGTTCAGTTCTAGTTCAGTTCTAGTTCCCAGTTCTAGTTCAGTTCTACAGTTCAGTTCTAGTTCAGTTCTAGTTCAGTTTCTAGTTCAGTTCTAGTTCAGTTCTAGTTCAGTTCTAGTTTCAGTTCCTAGTTCAGTTCTAGGTTCAAGTTCTAGTTCAATTCTAGTTTCAGTTCTAGTTCAGTTCTAGTTTCAGTTTCTAGTTCAGTTCATAGTTCAGTTCTAGTTTCAGTTCTAGTTCAGTTCTAGTTCAGTTCTAGTTCAGTTCTAGTTCAGTTCTAGTTCAGTTCTAGTTCAGTTCTCGTTTCAGTTCTAGTTCAGTTCTAGTTCATTTCTAGTTTCAGTTCTAGTTCAGTTCTAGTTCAGTTCTAGTTCAGTTCTAGTTTCAGTTCTAGTTTCAGTTCTAGTTCAGATTCTAGTTCAGTTCTAGTTCAGTTTAGTTCAGTTCTAGTTTCAGTTCTAGTTCAGTTCTAGTTCGTTCTAGTTCAGTTCTAGTTCAGTTCTAGTTCAGTTCTAGTTCAGTTCTAGTTCAGTTCAGTTCAGTTCTAGTTCAGTTCTAGTTCAGTTCTAGTTCAGTTCTAGTTCAGTTCTAGTTCAGTTCTAGTTCAGTTCTAGTTCAGTTCTAGTTCGTTCTAGTTCAGTTCTAGTTCAGTTCTAGTCAGTTCTAGTTCAGTTCTAGTTCTCAGTTTCTAGTTCAGTTCTAGTTCAGTTCTAGTTCAGTTCTAGTTCAGTCTAGTTCATTTCTAGTTCAGTTCTAGTTCAGTTCTAGTTCAGTTACTAGTTCAGTTCTAGTTCCAGTTCTAGTTCAGGTTCTAGTTCAGTTCTAGTTCGTTCTAGGTTTCAGTTCTAGTTCAGTTCTAGTTCAGTCTAGTTCAGGTTCTAGTTCCGTTCTAGTTTCTTCCAGTTCTAGTCTAGTTCTAGTTCAGTTTCTAGTTCAGTTCTAGTTCAGTTCTAGTTCATTTCTAGTTCAGTTCTAGTTCAAGTTCTAGTTCAGTTCTAGTTCAGTTCTAGTTCAGTTCTAGTTCAGTTCAGTTCAGTTCTAGTTCAGTTTTTCAGTTCTTCAGTTCAGTCATTCTAGTTCAGTTCTAGTTCAGTTCTAGTTCAGTTCTAGTTCAGTTCTAGTTCAGTTCTAGTTCAGTTCTAGTTCAGTTCTAGTTCAGTTCTAGTTCAGTTCTAGTTCAGTTCTAGTTCAGTTCTAGTTCAGTTCTAGTTCAGTTCTAGTTCAGTTCTAGTTCAGTTCTAGTTCAGTTCTAGTTCAGTTCTAGTTCAGTTCTAGTTCAGTTCTAGTTCAGTTCTAGTTCAGTTCTAGTTCAGTTCTAGTTCAGTTCTAGTTCAGTTCTAGTTCAGTTCTAGTTCAGTTCTAGTTCAGTTCTAGTTCAGTTCTAGTTCAGTTCTAGTTCAGTTCTAGTTCAGTTCTAGTTCAGTTCTAGTTCAGTTCTAGTTCAGTTCTAGTTCAGTTCTAGTTCAGTTCTAGTTCAGTTCTAGTTCAGTTCTAGTTCAGTAGTTCAGTTCTAGTTCAGTTCTAGTTCAGTTCTAGTTCAGTTCTAGTTCAGTTCTAGTTCAGTTCTAGTTCAGTTCTAGTTCAGTTCTAGTTCAGTTCTAGTTCAGTTCTAGTTCAGTTCTAGTTCAGTTCTAGTTCAGTTCTAGTTCAGTTCTAGTTCAGTTCTAGTTCAGTTCTAGTTCAGTTCTAGTTCAGTTCTAGTTCAGTTCTAGTTCAGCTAGTTCAGTTCTAGTTCAGTTCTAGTTCAGTTCTAGTTCAGTTCTAGTTCAGTTCAGTTCAGTTCTAGTTCAGTTCTAGTTCAGTTCTAGTTCAGTTCTAGTTCAGTTCTAGTTCAGTTCTAGTTCAGTTCTAGTTCAGTTCTAGTTCAGTTTCTAGTTCAGTTCTAGTTCAGTTCTAGTTCAGTTCTAGTTCAGTTCTAGTTCAGTTCTAGTTCAGTTCTAGTTTAGTTCTAGTTCAGTTCTAGTTCAGTTCTAGTTCAGTTCTAGTTCAGTCTAGTTCAGTTCTAGTTCGGTTCTAGTTCAGTTCTAGTTCAGTTCTAGTTCAGTTCTAGTTCAGTTCTAGTTCAGTTCTAGTTCAGTTCTAGTTCAGTTCTAGTTCAGTTCTTAGTTCAGTTCTAGTTCAGTTCTAGTTCAGTTCTAGTTCAGTTCTAGTTCAGTCTAGTTTAGTTCTAGTTCAGTTCTAGGTCGTAGTTCTTCAGTTCTAGTTCAGTTCTAGTTTCAGTTTTTCTAGTTCGGTTCTAGTTCATCTAGTTCATTTCTAGTTCAGTTCTAGTCCAGTTTCTAGTTCAGTTTCTAGTTCAGTAGTTCAGTTCTAGGTGCAGTTTCTAGTTCAGTTCTAGTTCCAGTTTCTAGTTCATTTCTAGTTCAGTTCTAGTTCAGTTCTAGTTCAGTTCTAGTTCAGTTATAGTTCAGTTCTAGTTCAGTTCTAGTTCGTTCTAGTTCAGTTCTAGTTCAGTTCTAGTTCAGTTCTAGTTCAGTTCTAGTTCAGTTCTAGTTCAGTTCTAGTTTCAGTCTAGTTCAGTTCTAGTTTCAGTTCTAGTTCAGTTCTAGTTCAGTTCTAGTTCAGTTCTAGTTCAGTTCTAGTTCAGTTCTAGTTCAGTTCTAGTTCAGTTCTAGTTCAGTTCTAGTCAGTTCTAGTTCAGTCTAGTTCAGTTCTAGTTCAGTTCTAGTTCAGTTCTAGTTCAGTTCTAGTTCAGTTCTAGTTCAGTTCTAGTTCAGTTCTAGTTCAGTTCTAGTTCAGTTCTAGTTCAGTTCATGTTCTAGTTCAGTTCTAGTTCAGTTCTAGTTCAGTCTAGTTCATTCTAGTTCAGTTCTAGTTCAGTTCTAGTCAGTTCAGTTCAGTCTAGTTCAGTTCTAGTTCAGTTCTAGTTCAGTTCTAGTTCAGTTCTAGTTCAGTTCTAGTTCAGTTCTAGTTCAGTTCTAGTTCAGTTCTAGTTCAGTTCTAGTTCAGTTCTAGTTCAGTTCTAGTTCAGTTCTAGTTCAGTTCTAGTTCCGTTCTAGTTCAGTTCTAGTTCAGTTCTAGTTCAGTTCTAGTTCAGTTCTAGTTCATTCTAGTTCGTCTAGTTCAGTTCTAGTTCAGTTCTAGTTCAGTTCTAGTTCAGTTCTAGTTCAGTTCTAGTTCAGTTCTAGTTCAGTTCTAGTTCAGTCTAGTTCAGTTCTAGTTCAGTTCTAGTTCAGTTCTAGTTCAGTTCTAGTTCAGTTCTAGTTCAGTTCTAGTTCAGTTCTAGTTCAGTTCTAGTTCAGTTTAGTTCAGTTCTAGTTCAGTTCTAGTTCAGTTCTAGTTCAGTCTAGTTCAGTTCTAGTTCATGTTCTAGTTCAGTTCTAGTTCAGTTTCTAGTTCAGTTCTAGTTCAGTTCTAGTTCAGTTCTAGTTCAGTTCTAGTTCAGTTCTGTTATTTCTGAATTGTTCAGATAATTTTCTACGAAGATTATGTTGTGAATTCAGTCATTAGCATTAGTTACCAGATTGTTTAAAAAACTACACAAAAGAAGTTTGAAAGTTCGCCATTTAGTTGCAGAATTCTTTGCTGGGAATATTATTCCGCTAACCAGTAGTTCAGATCTCCTATATTTATAAAAATATTTCTTTAAAGATTTACCGCAAATTTTGTTTTAAACATACATTGTTGCTGAATGAGTTGAATGAAAAGAATAAATATAAATAAGAACTATTAATTAATTCCTTCAAAATCAGTATTTTAAAGGCGTTTACGTAGTCACACCATTTCTGTAATAAGAATTTAATAAAAATATTCTGAGAAAGTGAGCTATTTATTTCGATTGTAAAAGTTTAAAGGTGAAGCTATAATGAAGACATGTTAAAGTATTAAATTATTAGAAGTGAACCGGTTCCTAGTTCCCAAATTCAAGACTCCTAACTTAATAGATGTTTGAACTAGATGTTTAATCCCTTTTAATCCTTTCCAATTTCCCTCTTGGAGATGGTGTATATTAAATAAAAACAAAATCATATTATATTGCATTTTTCACGCTTTTAAAAAATTGTGCTTTCATAAGCAACAAAGTACCCAGCCCACAGTGTAACTCCATAACAACAACAATAAGCAAAAGCTTACAAAATCCCACCAAGAAAAAATCAAAACTTCATAAATTCGCTACAAAAATCCCTTCAAGTCTACAAATTAAGCTAAAGTATAAAGAAAGAAATCAAAACAAAAACACAAACAAAATTAACGCAAAAAATCCTTTAAAACTTAGACACAAGAGCACTTAAATACAAAAATCACAAAAAAGCAGGAAAAAGAAACAGTTCCCATCATTTTCAAAGCGGCTTTTAAAAACTATTTTTTATGCGATTTTGTTGTTTAATTTTTTGTTCGTTTTTTTTTTTACTTTTTGGCCAACTTTATACACCGTGTTGTATTCCTTTTCGTATATGACCGGCCGGGTTAAAAAAAAGCCGTCCATGAAATCGCCAAAACACCAGCACAACACAGAACTATACAAAAAGCGCAAAAAAATCAACTCCTTCCAAAACGTATTAAAAAAATAAAACAAAAAATCTGAAAAATAAAAAAAAAATAAAATAAAGGCAGGCACATTAAACGTTAAAAGTATTTAATTTAAAGTTTCCAAAGAACCAGCGAGACAAACGAACGAATCAGTACGCGTGAGACTTTACAACAAAATTGACGCGTTTTATTTGGGATTTTTAAATAAAAATAAAAAACAAAATTCTAACAAATTAAAAATTACTTTAAATAATTATATTTAAAAAAAAACAATAAAAAATTAAAGAAAATTATCTATAATAAATAAATTTCTCATTTTATAATTTTAGCTTTAAATCGCAAGTTTACAACAACTAAAACAAAATGTTGAATTTAATAAAAATATGCAAATTTATTATTATTTAACACAGTGTAACAAAAAAAAGAAAAATTCTTCAAAGTGTCAGTGTTTTGTAAACAACTTTTGAACTTTGTTTGCCGTTAATAATTACTTAAAGGATTTATTAAAATAAAAAGAAAACTAAAATTATAATAAATAATTTGCAAACGTTAAGATTGTTGGCACCGTTGAGATATGCGGTTATTTATGGTGATTGCAATTGTTATATTTGCAATGCCAATAACTGGACTTGGTTGGTAAGTTATTAATTATATATAAGAAATTTTCATATTTAAGTTTTATTAATTAGCTGCATTATTTTTATTCACATTGATCAAATATTTTACTTGATCATTGATTTCTCTAAGATCAATGTACGAACTATAAACCCCCAAAGTTTTAGTTATGGAAACTTTTATATGGGAATAATTGTATTTGTGCAAATTTCTATATATCTGCCGAAAAGGTCGATTAATGGTCGTGCGATGACGAAATATTTAGCCTTACAGTAAGAAAAAAATTTGATTATTAGACCAGAGATGCCGTGCCCGCGTTACAGCCCCTTGAGTGGGCATGTAGAACCTTCTCTTAAGGATCTATAGGGTTGATAGATAGATAGATAGATAGATAGATAGATAGATAGATAGATAGATAGATAGATAGATAGATAGATAGATAGATAGATAGATAGATAGATAGATAGATAGATAGATAGATAGATAGATAGATAGATAGATAGATAGATAGATAGATAGATAGATAAATAAATAGAAAGATATTGTGTGATATTAAATATTGGAACCAGTTTCTTTGCCTCTAAGGCTATCCAGACTAAACTGCAAAGCAAATTTTAAGGATCATTAAAGGAGGCATATTCATTAGGGGTATACATATGCTGGCCGAACCTCATAGAATTAGGAGGAAAGATTTATGTTTAAATAATATAATTTATTCCAAATTCCCAATCCATAGTGGTACTAGTGTTAATAATTGAATTATGGAACTTCTAGTTATTTCCGAAGTGGGCTTTTGTGTAGAGACTTGATCATTACGAATATTGGCAGAGTTATTAAGGCTTATATTGTAAATCTATAAGGACAGAAAGGCGGATGGAAGGACGGACATACCAAAATTGACTCGAAAATTAGTTTATGCCTAATGGTTTTCTAAAGATGGTTTTGCGATACAAACATCAGCACAAACCTATGATAACTTCCCCACTATAGTGGTGTAGGGTATACAAATGAGAGGGAATTGGTGTTAAAATTGAATATTGTGTTAAAATATATAAATGACTCGGTTATTCGTAATACGTATAATAAACATTTTTCTCCAACAAGGCGGGTCCTAGTATTAAATATAATGAATTTTATCACTATAAAAGTAGAGGATGTTCTAAGTATCTACGACAACACTTTCCTTTTTCATCTCGTATATGACTTTTATAAAATGGAATAAATATAAAAAGAGCAACTTTCATTAAAAACTGTTCAGGTGTTTATTTTTTAATTTAAAATTCTTACACAGATTATTTTGATTTAATTTAATATAATATTATTTTTTACAACATCACACCATAATGTTTCTTGTTTGTTATATTTATGAGATGCTTCTTTATAAATTAAATAAAAAAATAATAATTTTCTGTATCTAACTAAAAGTGGGTGGCACAGATCGTCATGCAGTCTATCCGCAGATCATAAAAATCTTTATGTTGGCAACTTGTGGTCTAAACTGTATGTAGTTTTCTGGTGTTTTTATATTATTAGCAAAATAGAAAAAGAAAAAACAAAAAATCATTTGCGTAAGTCATTTTTTTTTGTCTTTTGCCAATTGATCGTATGTTGACAAGTTCATTTTTCAAAAACCAAAATTTTGCAATTTTCAACAATTTCATAATTTTGTATTTTCTTTTAGGTGGAAAGGCGTAAGAGGTTTTCTTTGCTTATTGCTCCCCTTTCAAATTCATTCATACATTTTGACACTTATTTTGTGTATAGAAAAATCTTTAACTTTTGATGTTTTAATCAGTCATATTTCTGGGGGATTTTTTTTTCTTTACGATTGTAAGTGTGTAATTTATGCTTGAGGTGTGTGCCCGCTCGTTGTTTGACATTTACGATTGTGGCCAAATTTCACTTTATTTTTTGTTTGCAATATTTTATTTTTAATTTTTTTTTTTGTTGCTTTAGTACAGTGACAATTTCCTGTGTTTTGTTAGATGCCATGAAATTTTCTATTAATTTTCTTCATTTTAATGTGTCAAGTTTATTTTGTTGCATCGAAATATGGCTGCTGAACACTAAAAAAAATATTTTAGAATTTTTCTTTTGAAATTATGGCCGAAAGGTTGGTTTGATTTTTAAGTAAATCAAGCGTATGATTGGCGAAGGTTAATGTTTGTGACGTTTATCGAAAAAGAAAAAGATTTATTTTTGTTTTTAATTTTTTAGTTTTAAATTTTAAATAATTATGTTGCATCTGTGAGTCGATGATGAATTAAAATAAAGGAAATAGGAAACAAAAAACATAAAATAAATTTGTGCGAGGGAGGGTGATGGAATGTATGGAATGTATGGAAGGAAATAGAAAAACTTAAAATATTTTTCCCGAAAAATTTATGTACCTATAACTTTTTTGTAAAATCTCTATCTACTATCTATCTATCAGCTATCTATCGAATCTATCTATCTATCTTCTAATCTATCTATCTATCTATCTATCTATCTATCTATCTATCTATCTATCTATCTATCT